AATATTAATTAACACCGACGAGTATAGCCCGTTCACATTATTTCTTCTTAGAGACCGATCACTTGGAACATTAAGTTTGCAATATTTTTTTAGAAACGAACTAAAATTTACATTTGCTAATTTTGAAAGCGGTATGTTTGCAGACACTAATGCTCGACACAAGTCTTCATTAAAAGTTTCTTGCTCATCTAATTTTTTTGAAGTAGATTGGAAACATTTAGCCATTGAAGTTTGATGTTTTCCTCCTATTTTTCCTTTTTTTGCAATGTGTGAAGCAGTTCTCACATGTTGGTCTATCTGAAATTTCTTCTCACATGCTATATATAAATAAAAATAAAAACCTTTATTTTAACCCAACCTTTAAAATATAAAAATATACAAGGTGTTTTCGGTTAATCAAATAACTGGTTTGGAAAAAAAACACTCGCTAAGTGTTTTAAATGCAGTATTAATCCACAAATTAGTTTTTGTTACTAACCATTAGTACATCATATAACTTATTTTAAAATTCAACAAAAGTTTTTTTTTGTTAATTCAATTACAATAAAAATAATTGTGTTTTAGAATAGCTGACTTCATGAAAAAAAGTAAAGGTGAAAAATTTTTCTAAATTCACACCATTGTATTGTACCATGGACAATTTTTTCTCACTAAAGAAAGCTATTTTTCATTTAAAAACAACCTACGAGTACTAAATTTCAAGTAAATACGTTTATTGGTTTTAAAGTTATTGTTGTTATTAACTAAAAGAATTTAATTTTTTTTAATTTTAACACCCTGTATCTCGAAAAGTAAATAAGTTTGATCCCTCATTAACTATATCGTTTTGTTCAATTTTTCGAGAAGTATCTACAGTCAAACGTTGTAAGTGTCATTTGGAAACGCCCTGTATGTATGAAATATTAGATATTTAATAGAAAATATTAGATACTTACAATTTTGCCACAGACTGAACAGTAGATTTTTCCCATATCCATAGACAGCTCTTTATAAGGTTTAATCCAAGTTGAAGCACTGGTTGTTTTAGGCATTATAACATCACAATCTTCCTTTTTGTTACGCACAACGAGTGTTTACGCTTTGAATATCAAAACAAAAATGATTTACAAATCTGAGCATCAAATTAGAAATGTTTAGGTACCTAATTCAATAAACTGGGAGATTTTGGAAAATCCCTAAATTAGGAACAAAACTATTAGCCGTTTACCTGCTGTTAAGATACAATAAATTGTAGATAGATTTGGGGATTAGATCATAAAATGCAAATGAGCGAACCCTTAGCGATTATCCAATAACTGAATGCCTCAGTGACCGAGACTTTCTAAGAATGTTGAGGGCTACTTAAATTGATCTTCTTTGAAATTGTAAATGTTTTGTACCTGTAGAGATTACGTACTTAGATCATTTCTTGATTAAAATGACTACAAAATTTTATACAAGAATTGAAATCAATTGGTATGTTTAAAAATTTTCAAATACAGTATAAAAATCTGAACTTTTATGCACTTTATGCAAACTTTTATACAAATATGCCAAAATATGAAATATTTGCATAAAATACGCACAATATGCAAAATATGCAATATGCATATTTGCCGAAGTCTATATCACAACTGTCCAGAAGCCGGAGAGAATAATGGCACGATATGGTTTCAAGCAAATAGGCTCTCACGTCCTCACCTCACGTCCGCAGAAAGAGATATCCCTGTAACCCTCACTGTTGCAGTTTTAGCAAGTGGTAATACTGTTCCTTCGTTCTTTATTTTACTGAGAGTAAACTACAGTGATCACTTTATTAGAAATGCTCCTGTCGAGGGCCTAGGAGATGCAAATCTATCAGGATGGATGAAACAACAACATTTTGTGAAATTTGTCAAGCATTTTGTGTTTCACTCCAGACGTTCTAAGGAGTGCCCTATACTTTTTCTGCTCGACAACCATGGATCCCACTTTTCTATCGAGGCGTTAAATATTGTAAGGAAAACGGAGGAATAGTTTTATATATCCCTCCACACTGATCGCCTAAATTACAGCCTCTAAATGGGAGTGTTTACGGACCTTTGAAAAAATACTACAATTTAGCTATGGATAACTAGACATATCCAGGTAAAACATTTTCCATATATGATGTTCCTGGCATTGAAATATTGAGTTTACCTCTAGCTGCTATGCCAACCAATAGAATGATTGGGTCAGTTAAACAGGAATATGTCCTTTGAATTAGAGTATCTTTACAGAAAGTGACTTCTTGTCATTATGTGTGACAGGCAGGCCTACACCAGCAAATGAAGAAGGAAAAGTTACCGAAAACAACAGGAGCAAGCTAAAATCATAAAGAATTCACCTAAAATTCTAGAACATTTCCCAAATGTAAACGACAATTTGTCTGCAAACATAGTCGCATCGACAAAACGAGAACGTGCAAGTTCGATATTGCTTTCCTTTGAAGAAGTAAGGCCGTTTCAAAAAGCAGATCTCCGACAAAATTCGAGAAAATCACGGAAGAAGAGACAAACTGCTATTTTAACCGATACTCCGTTAAAAGACAGAATGTGGAAGAAAAGGAAGATCCACATAAAAAAAACATATAACCAAAAGAAAAACACCAAGAACACGAAAATTAAAAACGATCGAAAATTTCTTTTCCGGGAAGAAAGCCCGATTCCATCTACGTCTGCATCTCATCATGAGCCTACATCCTAGGAATAATTTCGAACCTATGACTTGCTCTTCACCAACCATCTGGCTGCTGTTTGCATTATATCCAAACAATGGCCTGAAGACTGGACAAAATCTACAATAACGACCATACATAAAAAGGCAGCTTCCATAAATGCGACAATTATAGAACTATCTCTCTTATATCCCATGCCAGCAAGATAATGCTACATATAATCAATGAGAGACTGAAAACATTCCTTTAAAGAGAAATTCCACAAGAGCAAACTGGATTTACCAAAGGTAGAGGTACTCGAGAACACCTGCTGAATATAAGACAGATAATCGAGAAATCTAGGGAATTCAAAATCCCACTATACATCTATTTTATAGATTACCGTAAAGCGTTCGACAGGGTCAAGTGGAGACACTTATGGCGAATACTAAAAGAAGTAGGCGTACCACAACATCTAATTACGCTTATAACCGAACTATATGAACACACTACTAGATCAGTTAAAGTACTTGACACACTTTCGAACGAATTTCATCCAGAACGGGGTGTCAGACAAGGATGTATACTATCTCCACAATTATTCAACATATATGGGGAGTATATTATGCGAAGAGCACTTGAAGGATGGGAAAAGGGCATCTCAATAAATGGTCATAAACTAAACAACCTACGTTTCGCAGATGACACAGCCCTTTTTGCAAATAGTCAAGCAGAGCTGATAGAACTTATACGACTGATCGAAAACGAAAGTCAAATATTTGGTCTGCAATTAAACATATCAAAGACAAAGATCATGATAGTGGATAGACTACACAACAATCATCCACACATAACCACAATTGACCGGTTCGAGGTTGTGAGCTCATACTTATATCTGATATCATTAATCACAAACACAGGGTCATTACAAGAAGAGATTAAACGTAGATCTGATCTAGCAAAAGTTGCCACAGCAAAAATGACCAAAATATGGAAGGACTGTCAAATTTCAAGAGCGATAAAGATGAGGTTGATCAACTGCTTAATATTCCCAATACTGACCTACGGATGTGAATCATGGACTCTGAGACAATCGGAGAGAAGAAAGATAGACGCCACTGAAATGTTCTGTTGGAGACGAATGTTACGAATTCCTTGGACCGACCGCATAACAAATAATTCAATTTTAAGAGCTAAAAGTTAGCCAACGACTCTCTAGTAAAGTCCATCTCCAACAATTAAAATATTTTGGGCATGTTATGAGAGCAAACACAGAAAACATGGAAAGACTCATAATACAAGGAAAGGTAGAAGGCCGAAGATCACGAGGAAGATCCCCAACAAGATGGATAGATCAAATTACAGGAATATGCCAAAGACCTATGCATGAATTAAAAGAAATGACCAGAGACAGAGATCTCTGGAGACGGACAATACACGACATCACGTCGACCACTACACTCCCCCTGGGGGGTCAGGATTGAAGAGAAAGAATCTTTCTAGGTATATCAAAATAAAAAAGTTATATATTGGTATAACGTTTTATGCTTTCCGAAACCATTTCCTTTTTTTCCTATATTTTGTGACTGTCGCATATTATATTAACCTATTAATATATATCATAAAAATAGTTTTAATATTTGATTTTCCTTTTCTTTAAATAAGCTTGACTTTGCATCGTTATAATTAGTTATTTAACGTTAAATTTCAACTATACCTTATTCCATTAAGCGGTGCAGGGCATATAAACAACGATAAATTTAACAGATAATTGTTAAAGATGTTCCCAATGAGTCTACTCGTTCCGATAAGTAACAGTATAATTATGACACTTTATTATTTTTTTTCTTTTCTCAAATATTCGTGTTTATTGCATAGTAAATAAATTAATGTTATCACTGAATACAAAGTAAGTGAAAAAATACTCCGATTTATAAAATTAATGAATATTTTATGCATAAATGCAAGTAACAGTTCTTCAAAAATATTTAAAAACTAACCGGAATGTCCATCTTTATTTCGTCTGGCGACATTATCGGTGGTTCATACCGGTTCGGACACGATTTAATGTTTATATTTTCCTGCACCGCTTAATGAATTTTACTATAGTCAGTATACTTACTATTTTCTTATAAATTTCAAAAAATGTTTACGAATTATTTTAACATTTTATTTGAGATGGGTTTAAAAATTGTGTTCATATTTACTGCGAATCGATTTCAAAATAATATTTCTAGTTAAATAAGAAGAAGAAGTCACCATGACAACAATCAGTTTAATGACACTAATAAGGTTATTCTTCTTTTCTTTAGAAGAACTTGTAATGTCATTAATTTGGAACATTCATTTTATTTTGTGTCATATTTTTTAACATGCAATGAACAATAAATTTTCCTTTCTTTATATCAATATATAAGAACATTTAAATGGCTTTTACCCACAATAAAGGTAAATATATTATTTATTATTTTAAATTATATCTATTGCTTAGTCATGCGCTATTATTAATTAAAATTTAAAAATTTTTAAGTAAATTAAAAATATGATTTTAATTGCTTTCTTTTTTATTTCTTTAAAACTAAAAATACGCTATTATAGCTCTTGCAACAAAAGCTTACTTTCAATACCACCATATGAACTTATATAGCAGAGCAAGGTACTATTCAATAGGTTCACAGTTTACAAGGAAGATAATAAAATCAAATCTACACTTTAAAAACCAATTTTTACCTCTGGTTTTACTTAAAGTACCTACTGTATTCTCACTGAAGTGACTTGGCTTTTTTTTTTCTTTTGATATATCTCGATTTGTCGGTACCATGAATCGAACTCTCAAATGATAGTCAAATATGACACTGTTTTAACTAACTTGCCCTTTAATATGAGTGTCTATATGTCTATTTAATACCCAACCTTGGTTATTAGCTCCCCACCAATTCATAAGGGATTCATTAAATCTAACATAAACGTATTAACATGTTCATTTTTGTAGTTAGATAAATCGATCAATGTCCGTGTCAAACGCCGCTAAAATACGCATCCTCTTCTTGGTTTCAAACCATATTTTTCATACCATATTAAATTCTTTATATATGTGATTCTTATACAATGACTTATTGCTATCTTTTCCCTTTTCTGTTCAATTTAGGAGGCATCATTAATACCATAAGATTTGCGCAGACAATACTGCAATCATGGCAGAAAATATAGAACATTTACAAATTCTTATAAAAATCATTAACAGAGCAAACAAAAAGACGGGACTAACAATGAATATAGATAAAAGCAAATAGGTAAATTATTATCATCATCAGTAGCTCGACAACTCTTTCTGGGTCCTTGCTTGTTCTAGTATTTTCCGCCATTCTGTTCTGTTCCTTTCTTTGTTTTTTCAGTTGGTAATCTTAAGTGTTGTCAGATTTTGTCCCACTTGTTCCATGTATCTAAGTTTGGATCTTCCCTTTGATCTTCTCCCCACTGGTGTTTGCCTCATTATATGTTTTGGTGTTTCAGTCTTCAACATCCGTTCAACATAGCCCATCCAGCGCAGACGTCCGATCTTTATGGATGTTATGAACTCGGGTTGAGAAAAGCAATAAAAGAAAACTCGAAGCAACAGAAATGGATGTATTTAGACGATCACTTCGAATATCTATGGCAGACAAAATAAGAAACGATAAAATAAGGAATCGGATGGGGGTAGATGGATCACTGGCAACAGACATAAAAAGGAAACAACTTATATGGTATGGCCATGTTCAAAGAATGCCAGAAACAAGACCACCAAAAATCGCCATGAAATGGATACCACCAAATTGTAAGAAACGAGGAAGACCAAAAAGAACATGGAAGGAGGGAATAACAAAGGCAATGAGCTCCCGAGATTTGACCGAAGAACAATGTAATGATAGAAATTCGTGGAAATTAGGCATCGGACAACGACGCAAGACGTTTTGAAACCGATATATATATATATATATATATATATATATATATATATATATATATATATATATATATATATATATATAATATATGAATTCGGGTTCATTGTATGCTGTGTATAGTTCAAAATTATATCTTCTGCGGCATATGTCATTTTCTTTTACCCCGTTATATAGGTGTCTAATGATTTTTCGTTTAAACGTACCTAATAGGTTCTTATTGCTTTTGAACAGTGTCTATGTCTCTGATTTATATACAAGAATACCGGTTTTATCAGGGTTTTGTATATTTTGCATTTGGTTTTTTTTGTGATGTTGTCATATCTTAGATGTTTAATTAGTCCATTATATGTTTTATTAGCGATATGTATTCTTCTCTGAACTTGTTCACTGACATTGTTTTCTGCGCTAACTAGTAAATCTAGACATGTAAACTTTTTCATGCTTTCGATGTTATAGTCTCCTATTGTTAGATTCTGTAGGTTTCTTTGCCCAGTCGATTTGCTGGCTTTCATGTATTTGGTTTATATTTCATCAATGTTTAGGCCACTGTTTTGTGGCGCTCTTTCGATCGCATTAAATGCTTCTATCATCTCTCTTTCCCTTCTAGCTATGATATCAACATCATCTGCAAATGCCAATATTTGTACACTTTTTGTTATTATTGTTCCTCTGGTGTTGACTTTTAACTCCCTAATTATTTTCTCTAATGTGATGTTTAACACAGCTATTTCGTATAGCAACCAACAAAATCATCATAGCCAGAATGATCGCCAACGTTCGGAACGGACGGGTATCCTAAGAAGAAGATGTTTAACAGAATACAGGATAGAGCATCTCCCTGTCGTAGGCCCGTTCTCACATGGATTGTATCTGTAAGTGTGTTTTGAATTCGAATTTTGTTTTCTACTTTAATTGTTTTTTCACTATATTAATGAGTTGAGTTGGAATATTAAATTTTGTCAGTGCATGGAGCAGAAATTATGGATGAATGCTATTATAGTTAGCAATGATTGTTAATCATTTGGGTAGACTGCTAGATTTAGTCTTATCGTATTTCAGTTGTGAAGTGAAGCATGATGACTTACCTTTGGTCTATGAAGACTCTCATCACCCAGCTCTTCTAATAATATTTACGGATATATTTGTAAAAGAGCCTAAAATTTAGGTATGGTTTGGGGCAATTAACTTACAACTTTAAAAAAGCAAATTTTCCTTCTTTATATCGAGAACTGTATGAAACGGATTGGGATTCTCTGGATACTTCTAATGACGTTAATGAAACTTTAAATAACTTTAAAAGATTTTTTTCTGTGGTTAAGAAGTATATTCCAGTTTATAAAAATTTTAGCCATGAATACCTAGGTGCCTTAACTGTGCTACTATTAAAACTTTTTAATTTATGTCTTCTTAACAAGAAATATCCGAGTCTCTGAAAGGAGTCAAAAGTGTGCCCAATTTTCAAAACTGGTGAAAAGGGTCAGGTAGAAAACTACAGACCAATTTCCATTATTTGCAATCTATCCAAAGTTTTTGAAATAGTTTTGTATAATCGTATTTATTCACGCACTCAGATGTCTCAATATCAACATCGTTGTGTCTCCAATCAGTCCACTGTAACAAACTTATTAATGGTCACACAATATATCTCAGCGGCCCTAGATAATAGAAGTCAAGATGAGGTCATATATACTGACTTTAGGACGGCGTACTACTTTCTAAATTGTGTCTCTTTGGTCTTTCTGAGGAAGCCGTGACTTTTATGAGGTCTTACTTGTCAAATAGAACGCAGTTTGTTGCTTATAATGGTTACAAATCGGAAAAATACCTAGCTTCTTCAAGGGTTCTACAAGGTTCTAATCTAGGTCCATTATTGTTCTTGTTATTTATTAACGATCTGTGTGAATTAATTTCTGCACCATGTTTATGTTATGCCGATGATTTAAAGATTTATTCATTGATAAGCGACATTAATGATTGTCATTTTCTGCAGAGTGAACTGAATAGTGTACATGAATGGTGTATTGCAAATCATTTGAATCTTAATGCCAATAAATGCAAAGTAATTAGTTATTCTAGGAAACAGGCTAATATTTACCATCGTTTTATTATCGATGGCAATGAACTTGAACGTTTGAATAAAATTAAATACCTTGGAGTTACATTTGATTATAAACTCACCTTTGTTGAACATGTTAATTTAAAGGTTAATGAAGTATTTAAATCTTATGGATTCATAATTAGAAATAGTCGAAATCTCACTAATACTAAGGCAATTAAATTACTTTATTACACTTTTGTACGCTGTAAACTGGAATATGCCTCTGTCATTTGGTCACCTTTTTATGATGTGCATATCCAAATTATAGAGCAGGTGCAGCGTAAATTTTAAAAATTTTTGTCTTTCAAAATTAACGGCATATATCCCAAGAGGGGCGTCAGCAATAGTGAGTTGTGTAGCGGTTTGGACGTAGTATCATTACAATCTAGACGAATTGATGCCTCCCTAATATTCCTATACAAGCTATTACATAATCTCATTGACTGCCCTGATATTCTTCGACAAATAAATTTTAACGTTCCATCTTATCCAGTGAGAAATTCGATTACGTTCAGAAATACACAAGCTAGAACCAATCTTGTGTTAAATTTTCCACTATTTCTTATGTGCAACTATTATAATTGCTTAAGTGCTTACTGCGATATATTTCACTGCAGTTTAAAGCAGCTTATTATGATGGCTGAGATCTAGGTGATTGAGTCGTTTCTTTATGTTAAGGTAAAATACTCGAAAAATGTGTTATTTAGTTAGTACATATGAATTGTTAATATTTCATTTAACTTTAGTATTGTATTTTAGATATTGTATTTTGAAAAGTCCTAAAATCCGGTCACTTGTTTTACTATCACGGAGAACAACATAAGTCAGTAGGAGGCGTCGGATTCTTCATAAACAAACAGCTAGCAGGAAATCTAAAAACTGTCCAATCAGTATCCACTAGAGTTACATATGCCACCTTTGAAATAAATACTAGATATAATCTAAAAGTTATCCAAGTATATGCTCCAACAACAGAATATACAGACGAGGAGATCGAAGTCTGTTGTGATGATTTAAGTACAGCCATCACAAACAACCGCACACATTTCACAGTTATATGTGGAGATTTTAACGCCAAAATAGGAACAAAACTGGATCCAGTAGAAACTGCTCTTGGAAATTTTGGAAGTCAGGGACGGAACGACCGTGGCGACACTCTTTTAAACTTCCTACTAGAGAAAAACCTATTCCTAATAAACAGTTACTACTACAAGAAACCTCACCGCAGATGGGCGTGGAAAAGCCCAGATGGGAACACGACAAACGAGATCGATTACTTTATCACTGATAAAAGATACATATTTACAGATGTGACAGTGCTAAATAAATTTGCGAAATCAAGCGACCATCGTAGGGTGAGAGCCACGATTGTGTTAAATACCAACTATGAATGACACAATATGATAAAAAAGAAGCAAATAAACAGATGGACACATCCAAACAACGAACATAATTTTGAAGATCATATCGGTAAATTCCTTCAAGAAAAATCATCAACAAATGATATTAACATTCTAAATGACATAATCGTAGAAGCAATAACAGAAGCTCAAAAGAAATGCTGCCCAAAAAGCGTGAAAGAAGAAAAAAATAGTCTGGAAACACAGAAAAAATGGAACAAAGAAGAATACTGAGAAGCGACGAAAACTCTAGTAACGACGATATAAATAAAATGAACAAGGAAGTATCAAGAGAAATCTGAAAAGACTTAAGAAAATACAAAGATGAGAAAATCATCAAAATCATTGAGGAAAATAAGAGTATGAAAATAATGAGACGCAAACTCACAAATGGAAATAAACAAATAGTCAAACTCAAGGATAGAAATGGCAACATCACATCAAACAGAGAACATTTGTTACAAATTGTGGAATCATTCTATGAGACATTATATAGCAACCAATCGACTCTAGATATAGTCGAATATCAACAGAAAAAGGTTTAAAATCAGGGTTCCGAAGATATTCCAGAAATCTTCTTGAACGAAATTTACAAGGCCCTAAAAAAGATGAAGAATAACAAAGCTCCGGGGGAGGACGGTGTCGTCACGGAAGCGATAAAGATAGGAGGCTCAGTACTGATAGCCAAAATTCAAAAGCTCTTTAATCTATGCCTATGGAATCAAAATATCCCAACAAACTGGAATAATTCAATAACTGTACTCTTACACAAGAAGGGAGATATAGCAGACCTGGAAAGATACAGACCAATCAGTCTCCTTAACCATCTTTATAAATTATACACCCGAATAATAACGAATAGATTAGAGACAAAGCTGGATTTTTACCAACCTCGGGAACAAGCTGGTTTTCGCCCTAATTACGGCACAAACGATCACCTGCAGTGCCTAAAAACCCTAATAGAAAAAACTAACGAATATAACCGTCCCTTGGCATTGATATTTGTAGACTTTAAAAAGGCGTTTGATACAGTGGAACTACCGTCCATCTTAAGAGCACTACAAGATTGCAGGATAAACCACAGATATTGTAATATAAATAAAAATATATATGAAAATGCCACAACAACCACAAGTCTATATTCTGCAACTAATAAAATAAAGATAAAAATGAGAGTCAGGCAAGGTGATACCATGTCACCAAAGCTGTTCATTACCGTTCTTGAGTATGCATTTAAAAAATTAACATGGCAACAGAAAGGAATATCCATCGATGGAGAAAGATTAAACCATCTACGTTTTGCGGACGATATCGTTCTTCTGTCAGATAATCTGGGAGAGATCAAAGACATGCTCCAAGAACTGAATGACATACTACAAGAATCTGGGCTGGAGATAAATTTCGAGAAAACCAAAATGATGACCAATATGGTTCCCAGCGAAGAGATACAGATCAATAACAACAAGGTAGAATTAATCGATAAATACACATACTTGGGTCATGAAATTAGAATAACCAGAGACAACCAACCCTGCGAGCTAAATAGACGAATCATGTTAGGATGGGCGGCATATGGACGGATAAGAGACATTTTTAAAACAAATATCCCAATTCACCTGAAAAGGAAGGCATTTAACCAATGCATCTTACCAGTCTTGACCTACGGAGCAGAGACCTTAACTTGAACGAAAGCTACTGCCGAAAAACTAAGGGTAACACAAAGGCGAATGGAGAGATCAATGCTGGGCCTGACCTTGAAAGATCGCGTAAGAAATGAGGAGATTCGCCGACGAACTGGCGTAGACGGTATTATACTGCGAATCAATAAACAAAAGTGGAGGTGGGCTGGACATGTTGCTAGAATGGAAGACGGAAGATGGACGAAGAGATTATTGGAGTGGAGACCAAGAGCCGACAAGCGAAGTCGAGGCAGACTACCCACCCGATGGACCGACGACCTAAGGAGGATAGAAACAAACTGGATTGCAGCAGCTAGAGATAGAGAGAACTGGAGACGTTTGGAGGAGGCCTATATCCAACAATGGATGTGAAAATTCGGCTGGATGATGATGATTTTGAAAAGATTATGTGTGTCTATATTAAATTCACTAGTCTTTTCCAAAATTTGCCTCAAGACGAAGATCTGATCTATTGTGGACTTATGTCTGCAGAAACCACATTGATACCCCCCAACTATTTGTTCCGCATATGGTCTCAATCGGTCATACACAATATTTGACAGTATTTTATATGCCACAGTTAGTAGCGTTATTGCCTGGCAGTTTTTACATTGAAGCTGATCTCCCTTTTAATGAAGTGGGATAATTACTCCGGGATTCCAGTCTTATGGCAGTTGTTTATTATTCCTTATGTTCACTATTAGTTCATGTATCGCATTTAATAGGGAGTCTCCACCTTCCTTTATTAATTTTGCGATAATGTTGTCTAATCCAGGTGACTTGTTGTTTTTTAGTCTGGTAACTTCTTCTTGTATTTTAGTTACTGAACGAGGGGTGGTTTCTCTGGTTTCCGTTTGATCCAGTATAATTCTATCATATAGTGGATTTTTTTTTCAAACTGTTCTTTAAAGAATTCTGTCCATCTTTGTAGTATTTCACTCTGTTGAGTTACTATATCTCCTTCTTTGTCTCTGCAGATCATTGTTCCTGGTTTAAATTCTTTTCTGCTTTTGTTAAGTTTTTGGGAATTTTCTGGTTTCTGATGATTTATTAGTTCTTTCATTTCTTGGAGTTCTTTTTCTATGTGTTCTCTTTTCTTTCTGCGATGTATTTTCTTCTCTTCCTTCCTTAGAGTTCTATATTCCTCCTCTGTCTTTCGTATTCTACGTCATTATTGTAGCCATTGATATGCATTATTTTTCCTCTATGTTATGTTACGACACTCTTTAGTTATCGATAGTCAGTCCTGTCCTTACGAATGACAGAACGACAGTCATTCAGTTGTTTTGAGCTTTTTGTAGACCCAGGATCCCTTTGGCCGCGTCTTGTATGACGTTTTTAAACGCTTCCCATTCTCTGTTTATATCCTCGTGCTTTTGTCTGTTTTCTAGCCTTCCTTTTATATATTCATTGTATTTTGCCTTTTTGCTGTTGTCTGCTAAGTTTTTTATTTCATATTTTTCAATTTTGCATCCCTTTTCTTTTATGTTTGCGAAATAGGTACATGGTGATGTCGAAATACCCTGTTAAACCGTTAGAGAATATATCGACAAATATAAATACCTCGGAGCAATTAAAACTCACAGTTAGTTCAAGATGAGAAGATAAAGGTCAGAATTGAAATAACTCAAAAAGGATTTATAAAATATCAGTAAAAATTTACAAATAAGAAATTGAGGTTCGTCAAATGTTATGAATGGTTGCAACTGCGATATGGGGTAGAAGATTGAACTCTAAAAGCCCAGTTCGTAAAAAAGTTAAGGCATCCGAAATGTGACTACTTAGGAGTATTTTGAAAATTCTTTGGATTTGAAAAATCTCAAACGAAGACGAATTGGACAGAGCAGAAAGCTTATGAACACAATTCAAATAGAAAAAATATCGTATCTGGGCCACATACTTCAAAACGATAAATACGTTTTTTACACGTTATCATGCAAGGAAGAGAAGAAGGAGGAAGAGGGTTGGGAAGAAATCTTAGCCGAGAAATACCAAGAGATTGGACTAACTTTATTGTTAAACAGATATTTCATGTTGCAGAAGATACGGAGCGTTTAAGGAAGTGATCGCCAACCTTCGTTAAAGACGGCACAATAACAAGAAGACTTCCTTTTCTTTTTTGCTTTTGCTGTTTTGATTCTTATTCGTTTAATCAATCTTAATTCTTTACTGCGTTCTAGGTATCCTAGCTAGTTGCTGTATTATTTTTAATTTATTTATTTCTTTGTATAGATTCGAAACTGGTTCATTTATATGTTTTTCTCCTCCGTACTCTGTCTTTATTTTATCATACAATATTTTTAATATTTTTCTTCCCCATATCTCTATTTTGTTTTGGTCTTGTTCGTTTATGAACCACGTTTCGAACCTATACACCAGCATGGATCTTAATATTGTTATTTTACCTATTAATATAAGTTTTATTGAATTGCAGATTTAAGATTTTCAAATGCAGATCCACATTGCAAAATATATCCAGTAAATCTATGAAACATAAGAAAATTATGCAAAATCAAAACCAGTTTTTAGAGTCTATGCTTATTCGACTTCTTGATGAGGCTAAAAAATTATCGAACGATAAAGAACTTCCTGTTAGTCCAGAAGAAGAACGCTCAAATAAAACACTTAAAAAGGAAATAGAGAAATTAATAATTGAAAACAAGAAAATTCAAAAATTAAGAAGTAAAAATATAAAAATTAAGGAAGATCGGACTCAGAAAAAAGCGAGGTGTCTTACAATCTTAGAGAATAATGTGTCAGAAATAGAAGATCTATCAAAGCAGATTGAATCACTTTCGCTGAAAAAACAAAAGTACAAGGAAGAAATAGCGAAATTGCGAAATTCCTTAACAAAGAAGGACGAAACTATTAAAAACCTAAAAGCGAATAAAAACACAAGTGATATAAACTCTGGGACAAAAGACTGTCCACATGATAATATTGATTTACGAGAACAACTAGATAGATGTAAAAAGCAATATTGCAAGAAGGAAAAGTCATACATTAAGCAAATCGAGGATTACAAACAAGAATCGCAAAAATTTAAACAGTTATACGAGAACCTGAAATCCGAAAAAGCGTTAGATAAACTAGAACAGAATTGTTTCATCCGATCGGAAGAACCGAGTGATCTACATAAACTTACCCAAAAACTTAAGTGTTTAGAAAAAGAATTAGAAGCATCTACATTAGAACTTGCTGAATACGAGGAAGAAAATAAATGTTATTGCCAAAAAATCGAAACGTTATTAAAAACTATTAAATGCTTACAAGAAGCAAAGCTGAGGTCTGAGCAAGATAGCGCAGAATACTGTGAACGTGTCAGCAGATTAAGAACAGAATTTCAAAAAATATGTGAAGAAAAAAACAAAGATATACAAGAACTAAATAAAAAATTGCAGGTTATGAAAAATCATGAAAAAGAAATTATAGATTTAATGGCTGACAAAGATGAAGAAATAAAATTACTTAAAGAAAGAATATTTCAACTTGATAGTGATAATAAAAAATATGTAGTCATGGAAAGTAAATACAAGGAGTGCCAACAAGAATACGAAACTTATATCAATCATTTAAACGCCTCGCAAAAGCTGTTGACAGAAACCTATTCCAAACTTGATTCTTGCGACAAAATAATCAACGATCTTAAAAACAGAAATAATACTTTAGAAGAAAAAATAAGCGAATTGCAATTTTCTCTCGATGAAAAAGTGAATGGAATCGCTAATTGGGAAATAAAGATAAACGAATTACAATGTGCAAATCTTAAACTTAATAAAGAATTAAAAACTAAAGAATCTGCTATACGAAGTCTTGAAACTTGCCTTCAAAGGAGTAATCGAATATTAGAGAACTGTGAAAAAGAAATGAACTTTGTTGAAGAGCGCAATCAGCTATTTACAAACGAAATGTGTCAACTAAAATCGAGACTTGAAGCAGACTTACTACAAAATCAGTACTCAACGGTACAATGTAAAGATATGGATAGAGACAATGATAAAAGTTATTCGGATGAAAATAGCGATACTGAAATATCAAATTTAAAAAATAAATATGACGATTTATTAACAACAGCTGCTGCCAGGGAAAATGATATTGAATATATTAAGTCACAAATAGTCAAGTGTTTTGGTAAAGAAGTTTGTCAGTACACTCCAACTTCTGGCAATGAACAATCTGGTAAATATACTTTTTATTATTTCTTATTATATTTATATTAATATTAAAAAATGTTTAATAGAGTGTATCGAAGTACAATATATTCATTATTATCATCATCATTTAATCTTCGCTTGTGCACTGCTGGACATAGATCTCCCTCATAATTTCCCATGTCTTTCGATATTGTGCCTCGTGCATCCAATTCCCATGGCAACATTTTAAAAGGTCAGCCCAATGTGTTGGAAATCTGCATCGGTAGGTATCATCTATTGATCTATATTCCAGTATTCGATTTGTCCATCTGTTATCTGTCATTTAAGCAACGTGACCTACCTAGTTCCACTTTTATGTTGCTATTCTCTCTACAGCATTAGCCACTCCTGATCTTCGTCGTAGGTGACGATTTGAGATGTTTTCTCGAATTAAAACGTCCAACATAGATTCTGCTTTTATTACCTCTTGAAATTATTTTATCACACAGTATATGCTCAATTGCCCAATGACTTGTCTTCCCTGATTATTTCTGTGTTTAACCTCTTTATCCAAATTGCCGTCGTTTGTTACATGTATGCCTGGACAGTGATTTATTTGTTGGTGTTGCTCTTCCAAAATAAGATTTTCATTAAATAGCCTCACGGATTACTAGAATTATCTTTGTGGGATACTTAGTAGGTACGTGAATCTATTTAATATAACCAGCAATTTTGGAAGATTCGCCTTAAGGAATTTTGAACGAGTGTCACCAATCTACTTCCAAAAGCCCTCGAAGGAATAATTCAAGGAAATTTCACTCACTATAGTGTATTTTTATGTATGAGAGTAATAATAATTTTAAATTGAGTATGACCACCAGGCATAAAGGTTGGAGCAGAATAGAATACAATAGTTGTGAGGGTTACTAATCCCTAAATAAGGTTGCCAGTGTCGGAGTGATGGAGGTTAACAGGTACTAATGAATTTGCAAGAAATGTAAGATGTTTATTTTATTGGTTATATATAACCAATAAAAGTTTAATAAGTACCTACCTATTTGCAAAATAAAGTTTAATTCTTTAGATAAAATAAAACGTTTTATTTTATCTGAAATGAGTGCATTCCACGAAGTAAGGGTTTCAACAATCAAACATTTAATTCTTTAATTCCAGGAATCTACGACAGTAATTGACTAGATAATTACCTTCTAAACTTATTCCACAGAAAATGTGATAGTGGGTTTTTCCATTTTGTAGAAAGGTCCAAGTGGCGTATTCAAAATTCTTAACAGTTCACTAAAAGTAGATACTTCAGTTGCAAGGTGCAGTTTATTGTGTATACTAGTGTTATGGAAAATTTGGAAGTGCCGTGTAAACGCCGAAAAATTGGTCCTTTAACATTAATATTTAATTGTTTTAAATCATTTACAGACAAACGTTTATGTGAAAGTGTTGATGAGACCGTTGAGTTAGTTAGCAGTACACTTGGTGTTGGGAAATCTACGATTTACATAGTTATTAAAGAAGAGAAATGTGGTACTTTTCAAATGCCACGTAATGCTCCAGGGAAACCAAAATTTCAAATAGAATATCATTTTAAAGAAGGACTTCGACGGAAAGTGCATGAATTCTTCTTTAGACAAGAATTTCCAACATTGGATAAAGTTCTTGTCTCAGTTCGAGATGATAAGGATTACCCAGAAATGAGTCGAAGTACGTTATGGAAACTTTTAAAAGAAATAGGCTTCCGCTGGAAAAAGAATCCCAGAAAGTCTATTTTATTAGAAAGAAGCGATATTGTCATATGGAGAAGACATTTTCTAAGAACCATAAAGGAAATGAGAAACCAAAAAAGAAAAATATTTTATCTTGATGAAACATGGATCAACGAGGGTCATACACCAAATAAATTTTGGCAGGATGAATCTGTTACAAGTCAAAGGCACGCTTTTGTAAATATCTTATCTATTGGTTTAAACCCACCATCAGGAAAGGGACGCAGGCTGATAATAGTACACATTGGCAGTTCAGACGGTTTTGTTGAAGGTGGTTTATTAACTTTTGAATCAACTCGTACCGGTGACTACCATGAAGACATGAACGCTGATGTCTTTCAAGAATGGTTCGAACAAATGATAGATCTTCTTCCTAAGAACTGTGTAATAGTAATTAATAATGCAAGTTATCACTCCAGACTTATAGAAGGACTGCCCACAACTAAGTGGTTAAAAAAAGACTTGCAGAATTGGCTGAGCTATAAGAAAGGAACTTTATTCGTTGTGTGCCCTTCATAAAGAAAAATTTAAAAAATACGAAATTGATGAAATTGCCAAAAATCGTGGAATGACAGTACTTAGATCCCCACCATATCATTGTGAATTAAATTCGATTGAACTGGTATGGGCACAGATAAAGAGTGAAGTTTCAAGAAAAAATACCACTTTTAAGATTCATGATGTTAAACAGTTTTTTTTTTTTTGGAGGCCGTAAATAATGTAAAACCTGAAAACTGGGAAAACACACTATTAAAGAAGAGGAAAAAATGTGGAAGCTGGACAATATTACTGATAAAATGATCGAGCCAGTTATTATAAATCTTGGTTCTGAAAGTTCATCTTCTGAATCTGATTTGGATTTGTAACAAGTAGCTGTAAGTTTTATATTAATATTTTTATTCATCTATTTAACATACCTTAGACGGTTTTAAAAAATCTTTTTCTCTTTTGTAATTTTTAAAAATTAAAAAAAATGTGAATTTTTTAAAACCCTTTTTAATGTAGGCCAGTCAGTTCTAATATAGTGTGTGATAAAAGAGGTCACTTTTGTTTACATACACATAACACTTTATAACACTGAAATCATTCATTTATTTTTTACAATTATTCAAAGTAATTTTTCAATTAATCTTGAGCACGCACATGAAGTGGTCGGAGGTACCAGTTAAAATTATGCTAATTACTCTCTCGTTCATAAAAATAAACTATAGGTTACTCAAAAATTTTGAATTAGATCTTACCCTTCCTTGAAAGTGAAAGTAGAGTATTTCCCTTTACACATAAATAGACGAATTTATTGTAAAATACAGCGGTTATGATAGCTGGTTTGTTTGGTTTTCTTTTAGTTATCCCTTATAGGGAAATGTAGTATCTCAGCTTTGAATATTTCTATTAATATAATAATAATAGTACTTTTGTTATTTTATAATATTTCTAGAAATAGGTAATATGCCTTTTAACAGAACTATTCAACTAGGAAAAAGCTTATCACACGGCAATGAAAACCACTTTCTAAAAAGACCAGAAAGTAGATGGGGTAGCAGAATGGAATATCAAAAATGTAAGCCAAGAAGTAGATCTCCAAAGATGTCATTATATTTTAGAGCAAAATCTTCTCCAGGTAAAAAGGTGACCCATATATTAAGAGTAAGATCCTTTAGTGCTCCAAGCTTTTGCAGGAATTGGGACGCAACCACTGGTTAGTATATCTTACAGTTAGTAATACCTAAAAAACTATTATAAATTAACAATTTTAACAAATAATATACCACTTATTCACTCAGTAACTGAAGATATACAGTTCTAGTGTCGGTTCATACTTTATTTTTTAATTTGGTCCATATTTTGCTATATTTATGCACAAGACCATTTTACATCCTATATTATCGTATTCCAATATGTCCTTAGTACATCATGTTGCAATTATTGCAATACTTTATTTATAGTAGCTTTTTCTGTGTTTTAACTAATATTTTTGTGTTTGCTGTTGTATTCTGCAAATAAACTCTAAATTCTTGTGTAACACAAATCAAAAACTACACAAGAAAGCCCTAAAATTAGTATTTTCACCACCAGAGAAAAAATCCAGTACCTTTTGCTCAATTACATATACAGGCAAAATAACAACAAAAATTGCCAAACACATAAAAAAGAAAGGAATAACACAAGCTTTCCGAACAAATAACAACCTAGGCAAATATATTAAAAATAACAAGAGCCAAAATAAAAAAACACTTAAATAGTGGTGTGTACAAACTTCAATGTGGCGACTGCCCAAAAACTTACATCGATCAAACTGTTAGAAACTTTGATAAACGAATAGCAGAACATAAAAGGACTTTCAAGAATAGGAAAACAGATTCGACATACCCACTTCACCTTCTAGATCATAATCATTCTTTTAATGACAAATTTAAAATTCTTCACATTCAAAATAAAGGCCTTAAGCTATCTTTGTTAGAATCTATGGAAATCAACAAATTAAAAAACACAGATATAATTCTGAATGACCAACTTGAGACAAACAGTTCTCCCCTCCTCAACCTATTTCATTAGAGACTATAAATTTGTAAACCCAAGCCAAAAATAGATCACTTGAGAAAGGCAATCAGCCGAAACAGCTGTAGTGATAATATTTCAAATAAATTTTGTGGAAGTTTGAAAACAAAGTTTTCAGTGTTTTATTGTTACAACTCTCTATTAGTTTATCTAAATAGTCATTAAAAATATAATTTCGGTATTTTTTTTTATAAAAATACCACACAACAGCCGAGTCATGTATCTGTTAAGCTACAAAATATTACTTTTTTTTCAATTGAGTAATTAAGATAAGTAGGGTTTAAGTCATTTTTGACTTAAACGAAAAAAAGGAAGAATGGACCAACTATATAAAAGAGCTCCTCCTGGATACGAGGCCACCGTTTAACGCCACAAGGTATACGAATACTGGTCCTAGTATTTTAAAAGCAGAAGTAGAGAAAGCCATCAAAAACAAAGCAAAAAATGGGAAATCTCCAGGCCCTGACCAAATACCATCAGACTGGTTTAACCTTCTAGACGACAACAATGTCTCAGAACTAACAAACATTCTATCACCACATATACGAAACTGGAACACTGCCACAAATTGGTTGAAGTCTACATTTATCCTACTTTCAAAAAACCTAATCCATCACCATGTAAAGACTTTAGAGTAATTAGTCTTATGAGCGACTCTCTCAAGCTACTTAGGATAATTCTTAAAAGAATCAAGCAGAAATGTGAAGACACAATGGGAAATAAACAATTCGGTTTCAAAGAAGGATTGGAAACAAGGGTAGCTTTGTTCTCAATGCTAACACTACTTCAACGATCATGGGAAGTACAGAAACCAATTTACGTCTGTTTTATAGATTTTAAGAAGGCGTTTGATAGAGTTCAACATGGTAGGCTGTTTGGATACCTAGAAACCATTGGAATAGATGATAAATATCTGAGATTTTTACAACATCTATATTGGAATCAAGAAGCTTCTATTCTGGTAGACGGCAAAGAAACAGACAAAGTTTGTATTCAAAAAGGTGTTAGACAGGGTTGTGTGTTGTCCCCAACTCTGTTTAACGTCAGAAATAATTTTTAACAAAGCCTTGGAAGGGCAATGTGGAGTTCGAATCGGGGGAGAAACTATTAATAACGTCAGATATGCAGATGACACCGCAATCATGGCTGAAAATACCGAAGAACTTTAATTCCTTATAGATCGAGTCACTAGAGACCGCTCTAATAACGGACTAAGCATAAATACAACAAAGACAAAGTTAGTTGTGGTTAGTAAACAAGACCTCGGCGCTATACAACTAATTATCAATAATGAACCGATAACAAAAGTTAATCATTTTAAACATTTAGGATGTTGGATAAACAAGACACTGAATTCGGATGAAGAAATTAAAACTTGTATAGAAATTGCAAGAGGAGCATTTATGAAACTTAGATTTATTCTGAGCAATTCTCAGCTGGAATTGCACATTGACACCGGGAGATAAGGAGACAAGGAGATCCTCTCGCTCCCCTGCTGTTTAACTTCGCACTGGAACATGCAGTAAGGAAAGCTCAGCCACAATTGACAAACGGATTTGACGCACAAGAATCAAAAATACTATTAGCCTTTGCGGATGACGTGGACACAATAGCACAATCCACCAGCGCTGTAAAAGAAGTTTTCACCCTATTCGAGACCGAAGCCAAGGAAATTGGTCTTAAGGTAAACGAGGATAAGACCAAGTACATGGTAGTTACGAAGAACCCAAGACCAAGGGTTGGGCAAAACGTAACAATTAACGAATATAACTTCGAAGTCGTCAAAGAGTTTAAGTACCTGGGAGCGATCATAACATCTGAAAACAAATATGAAAATGACGTGGCAGCCAGGATAATAGCAGGAAACAGGACATATTACTCTTTAATGACCATCCTTAAATCAAAAATACTCTCAAGATCGGCAAAAATAAGAGTATACAAGACAATAATTCGACCCACAATAACGTATGGAAGCGAGACATGGACGCTGAACCAGCGGGAAACCACAAAATTACTGGTTCTTGAAAGAAAGATACTGCGGACTATCTATGGGCCTTGTAGAGAAGAAACAACAGGAGAGTGGAGAAGAAGACACAATATATGGAGATGAAAACATGGTCCGTTACATTAAAGCAAACCGAATAAGATGGGCGGGCCACGTCCTAAGGTTAAATAACGAAAGACTTCTGAACACCACATTCTGGGAAAGGCCCGATGGCAGAAGGTCAGTTGGCCGCCCAAGAAAGAGATGGAAGGACGCAGTGGCCAGTGATCTACGTAAAATGGGAGTGCAGTAGTGGGAAATAGCTGCTCAGAACCGACAACAATGGAGACAAATAGTAAACGCGGCCAAGACTCACCTAGAGTTGTAGAGCCAAATGATGATGATGATGAATTCTCAGCTGGACTTACAACTGAGAATTAAGTTCCTAAAATGTTATGTGTATCTTGTGTTACTGTATGGATATGAAACCTGGGTTATAAAGGTTAACATGATGAACAAATTAGAAGCCTTCGATATGTGGTTATATCGTAGAATACTCAGAATATCATGGGTTCCACACATTTCAAACAGAGAAGTCTTGAACAGAGTAGGTCAAGGTGAAGGTGACTTAATAAAGATAATAAAAAAGAAAAAACTCGAATATCTGGGGCATATATAATGAGAGGAAGTAGATACAGTATAATGTAGTTGATACCCAACGAAAAGATCGCCGAAAGAAGTGGAATTGGTAGAAAGAAATACTCATGGCTTCGAATCCTTCGTCAATTGACTGGCTTATCAGCAGGTGAATTATTACATGCCGTGCAAGATCGAGAACGATATCGGCAAATCGTCATGGAAGCTACCCACGGCTAAAACTTGGGCACGGTACTCAAAGAAGAAGAAGGGTTTAAGTTAAGCTAAAACATAAAATTATTATAATAATTTTGATTAAAAATATATTACCTGAAAATAATGATTTTTTATTTTATTCTATAGCATTACCCATTTATGTTGTCTCAAAATATGCACGCCACTGTTTCACAATGTTCTAAGTAACCTATGTATACTCCATTCCACGAATATACGACTATTTTAAATTCACTTTAAGCTGTCGACTTAAATGGTCCAATGTGCTGCATTGTACAATAGTAAATTCTCCCCATTTTTAAAATACTGTTACGACAGATATAAACCTTAGATTTAAATATGAAGTCATGATATAAATATAGAGTTGATAGTTTATATAATAGTTGTAATTCAGAATTTAAATTATATAATTACTATCATTAAGTTTAGTATTTTAAACAAGTTGGTGTTTTAATTAAGTGATTTAAACGAAGTGATTAAATACTTAAGTGATTAAATAGTGTACTTTATTTAGTCGAATATTCAATTAGTATTAAAAAAACAAAAAAACTTACTTATTCTCTTATTCACCTAATCTCCTAAAACTATTATCAACCATCAGATTCACAGCCATAATCACTGTCGTCGCTATCCTCATTTGGATGATAAGTTATAATAGGATTAACTGCTTCGATGCGACCTTCACGGATCCACCATTCTTTAATTAAGTCTTCACATTTTTTTACACTTTTTCCCCAAATTTCAGGAGTGGCAATATCCAATGCTTGTTGCCATGTTTCCAAGACTGCCTCGTCACTGTAACCCTTGTATCCAATATGGTTATCATAATATGTTTTGCAAATCCCCCAAATATATTCAATTGGATTGAATTGGCAATGATAGGGCGGTAGTCTTAACACACGATGTCCAAAGCTATGTATAATTTCGTCTACTATATATATATGTTTGGTTGTGCATGACTTTTAGCTAACGTTAGTAATTGAGGCTTAAAACAGTATTGAGGAAATGTAATATTTTTATTCGTTAACCATTCTTTTATTTTATCTACAGTCCAGGTGTTTGTTGGTTGCTTATTTAAAATTTCCGAATGATACGCAGCATTATCCAGTACTATAACGGATGGTTCATGTAAACTTGGCAACAGTTTTTCTTTCAACCATTTAACAAACATCTCCGTATTCATATTGTCATGATAATCGGCTGATTTTGATTTTGATGAAAACACAAGATCTGCTCCCTCAATAAAACCATATTTTCCACCTGCATGTACTATAATATATCTCTTTCCCTCGTTATCGATGTGTTTTATGGATTTTATACTCTCGTCCTGCCACATTCGTTTGATACCGCCTTTAGCAAAAATCCATGTTTCGTCTAAATAAACGAAGGAAGAACATTCTTCTTTAAATTTGTTATAATTTCTTAAAAATTCTATTCTTTTGTGAACGACACTAGCTCTTTCACACAAAGCCTTTCTATTGTCTTCCTTTTTGAACTTAAAGCCAATCTGTCTTAAAACTCTCCAGAGACTTGTTCTGGAAATTTCAAATATATTTCTGTCTTTTAATTTTTGTAGCACTGAATCTAAAGAAACCTGTTCTTTCTTTTCGCGCATTTTATATATTGTCTCACGGATTTCAAATTTGCAACCTTCGGGAAAATCTATAGTCTTTGGTTGTCGGCGAGATTTATATTGTGCGACATTTTGTTCACTTTGTCCACTTTTTTTTTCTTTTTGCAAAACCGACTTTAGTTTTGTTTCACTAATACAGAGTGCATCACACACACGTTTATGTACGGACTCAACAGGTCGCAAAGGGCCCCCGTTGGTTTTCTCAGCAGTAAAATAAGAAAGTACATTAATTATAAACTTGTCTACATCTAAAACACGTCTCGGCATTTTTAGCTTCAATAAACAAATACACTATACTAAACTCTATCTTAACGGACACCTCTCTTCACCGGAAACCTCTATACGGACGGTTTTTAAAACTAAAATCAGTCGGCGATATATGAAACTGTATGTAAATTTTCGTTACTTTTTAATATCTGTAACGACTCGGTACTTTAACTATCAATAGCCGGTATATTATACCCGTTATAAAAAAACTTTCGGAACTTAAGAGTACATCCACTCAAACCAAACAAATATTTAAAACTAACAAAGTGAACTATTATATAGATTCTATTTCTGGTTTCTGAACCATCCTTCTGCCAATTTCTTTTCATTTATAATAAAAATGGTATATTTATTTTTATTACAGTTCTCTTACCTAATAAAGTAATAAAATATAATATCAAAGAAACCCGGCGCGCCTGTTTGCATTTATTTACAAATGTTTACATTTCAAATGTACTTTGTTTACATTTCACCGAAATCCAACCCAAATGTCCGTTGATGAACCCAAATGATGAACACATTTTCGTAAAAATGACCGTTTGCGAAAAAATGTTTGGTATTTTCCGATTAAATTTCACAATAAATTTTGCGTCTATTTGTACATCTATTAACTGAAATAATTTTAGTTCAGATGTAATACTAACAGTAGATGCTTTTTATTGGAATAATAATTAGACCAATTTACTTTCATACTTCTACTTGCACAGTAAAATATTCGTTGTCGCAATAATCCCAAACAGTCGTATATTCGTGGAATAACCTATACTAATTGTATCTACCGGTGGGCATACTCAAAGTATCATGAATGGGCGCCCTGTGTTCTTCATATTTGGCGACTACTGTATCTATCTATGTAGAGAAGAGGTTACCTACCGAGGTTTTTTGAATGATAAAACGTTGAACAAATTTTAATTTTCTTTTAACATTATATTTGGCATTAGAATATTTAGCTGCAACTCTAGGATTTTATACCAATTAAGTATATTACATAAATATCTATTTGATTCTAGTGACAGAAGCTGCTATAGATATTCTAAATCCTTTCTCGATGAGCGGAAGTAAATCAGCTGATGAATATTCAGAAGCAGGTAGTTTATCAAAACATGTCAGAGGTTTAACAGTGTCTCACAAAAGACAACAAAATGATGTCAGAAGCGTAAAAAGTGATAGTAGTTTAGAAGATAATCTTATTAAACCCATTGAAGCTGCTTCTAGTAGTACTTCAACTAGAAGCCCGTGTACATGCATGTCGGTGATATCAAGAAGATATAGTCTAGATAGGCCAAGCAGAAAACATTGTGGGTGTCGGTGACATATGTTATAAAAAATTGTATGAGTTTGTGATGTTAATTTGTATTTTTGTAGGACTTTTATCAAATTATATAATAATATCTCATGTCTTCTTCAATAATATTGTTCTTTTCTCATTAATATTTTATAGGAAAGAATAATTACAAGAATAAGAGGTGACAATTGTAGTTTACCAATGTATAACCTTTTCTATTTTAATGTAGCTAGAAAGGTCACCAACTGATATAATGCGAACGGCAACTGGATGATTAGTGAAGAGCGAGTCGTTGGTTCGAAACCAGCTCTTAAAATTGGCATTTGGTTTAACAGAACAAATTACCACAGATAGGAAAAAAAGATAGAAAAAGAGTGCTACATAACTTTTTGTAAAGGCACGCTTAGACGTAGCCAGTAGCTAGCCACAGTTTCACGGGCATAACAGTGCTTGACCAGGACAGCGCTGGATAGGCACGTTTATACGTATCAAGTAGCTGACGCCAGTCTCACTGGCAGCGCTGGACTGTCGCAAAACTGTGTTTACATGATACCACTACTATGACAGCGCTGTCGTGCCAGTTACTGGATTCGTATAAATCTGCCTTGACCTGGGATTAGTTTGGTACTTAATTCTAGCGACTTGTGGGGTCTTGTAGGCCCAACTATCTGAAATGCCGTAGCTCCAAAATTATATTGAGATTTGTATGTTTGTTTTCTTTAGTAAAATCGTATACTATGAAAAAACGTTATATTTTTAAATAAACAAATGAATAACAAGATCAAATTAATCGGTAGCATTATCTGTGGCTTGTCCTTTTTTGCAATCTGTACATGTTATAACGGAATGCGGAATACATATTGCTTTTTAACATTCAGCATAAAAATATTGCGATTTTCTATCCGATCTTCGTGTCCACATTTCGCATCGTAGCTTGTTAGGTTTTTCTTCACTGTCTACAAGTGCACTCCTACTGGCGGTAAGTTTACACAGTGAACGAGGTAGTCTTTTGTTTTGTAGTTTTATTGCTTGTTGCTCTTCTATTAACGTCTTCCAAAGTAATTTAATAAAAGCACAATTTGTCATTTTATGATCTTTTGTGTTATGTCGGTCAATCACGAAAGCGTTTATAGCGGCAGTATTTAAGAGGAAGAAAAAAATTGTAAGTGGCCATCTCCGACAATTTCTGGATACATCATATGTTGCTGACAGCTGATCGACAATGTCTACACCTCCCTTTGTTAGAATATAAAAAGTAACCATATGTTGCTTTTTTTATTCTTCTCTATTCATATCAATGGTATTATCATGGTGGAAAGTAAAAAAAAAAGAGAATTTTTTGCCCATGTAAGGCACTTCTGATAAATCGTTCTGGAAACCAAACGTACTTATCTTGTTTTTTTCGCTCGGCACGAGTTTCTATGTCATCAAAACGTAAACAGGCTAAGAGAAATCGGAATTTATATAGTGCTATGGTCTTATTAAGAATAAGTTGGGTTGATAGAGTCACGAATGTCGAGGTGTTGAGGGGATAAGATAAAGAGGTCTTAAATACAGTTAAGGTCAGAAAACTGCAATATCTGGGACATGTTATAAGGGGCGAGCATTATAACTTGTTGCAATTAATAATGCAATGAAGAATACAGGGTAGAAGGAGTCGCGGAAGAAGACGCATCTCCTGGTTAAATAATTTGAGAGCTTGGTTTAACTGCACTTCTGCTGAACTCTTTAGAGCAGCGGCATCGAAAGTGCGAATTGCCATGATGGTTGCCAACCTTCTTAGAGGAGATAGCATTTCAAGAAGAAGAAGGTGGCCTTTCTGAAAATCATAACTCCTGTGATATCAGTTGCCCAAAAGTCGTCCAAGTTTTGCTGACCAGAAAGGCAAAAACAAACTATAGTTTATTTTTATGAACGAGAGAGTAATTAGCATAATTTTAACTGGTATCTCCGACCACTCCATGGGCGTGCTCAAGATTAATTGAAAAATTACTTTAAATAATTGTAAAAAATAAATGAATTATTTCAGTGTTATAAAGTGTTATGTGTATGTAAACAAAAGTGACCTCTTTAATCACACACTATATTAGAACTGACTGGCCTACATTAAAAAGGGTTTTAAAAAAAAAGAGAAAAAGAGTTTTTAAAACCGTCTAAGGTATGTTAAATAGATGAATAAAAATATTAATATAAAACTTACAGCTACTTGTTACAAATCCAAATCAGATTCAGAAGATGAACTTTCAGAACCAAGATTTATAATAACTGGCTCGATCATTGTATCAGTAATATTGTCCAGCTTCCACATTTTTTCCTCTTCTTTAATAGTGTGATTTACTGCCTTTTCCCAGTTTTCAGGTTTTACATTATTTACGGCCTCCAAAAACAACTGTTTAACATCATGAATTTTAAAAGTGGTATTTTTTCTTGAAACTTCACTCTTTTACTGTGCCCATACCAGTTCAATCGGGTTTAATTCACAATGATATGGTATGATATGGTGGGGATCTAAGTACTGTCATTCCACGATTTTTGGCAATTTCATCAATTTCGTATTTTTTAAATTTTTCTTTATGAAGGGCACACAACGAATAAAGTTCCTTTCTTATAGATCCGGGATGGTACGTAATATTTTTTGAACTCAGCCAATTCTGCAAGTCTTTCTTTAACCACTTGGTTGTGGGCAGTCCTTCTATAAGTCTGGAGTGATAACTTGCATTATCCATTACTTTTACACAGTTCTTAGGAAGAAGATCTATCATTTGTTCAAACCATTCTTAAAAGACATCAGCGTTCATGTCGTCATGGTAGTCACCGGTACGAGTTGATTCAAAAGTTAATAAACCACCTTCAACAAAACCGTCTGAACTGCCAATGTGTACTATTATCAGCCTGCGTCCCTTTCCTGATGGTGGGTTTAAACCAGTAGATAAGTTATTTACAAAAGCGTGCCTTTGACTTGTAACAGTTTCATCCTGCCAAAATTTATTTGGTGTATGACCCTCGTTGATCCATGTTTCATACATATATTATATATAACCAATAAAATAAACATCTTACATTTCTTGCAAATTCATTAGTACCTGTTAACCTCCATCACTCCGACACTGGCAACCTTATTTAGGGATTAGTAACCGTCACAACTATTGTATTCTATTCTGCTCCAACCTTTATACCTGGTGGTCATACTCAATTTAAAATTGTTTTTCTATATACTTCTGTAAACTTGTTGACAAATATCTGTTTTTCATTGAGTCAGCCGGATCAACAGTTTAGGGATTTGCATACATAATTTATTGTTTTATTACTCTCTCATACATAAAAATACACTATAAATAAAGAATTCCAAATAAAGGAGATAATTCTTGATGATTTGTTTCTCTTACTTTATATTTATTACTTCCTGTTTGAGTATGCTAAGGACTTTTCCTGAATATTCTTGTTGGCGCAAATGACAATTTCACTGATCATGTTACCAGTTATATAATACTTCCAGCACTCTATTAGTGACTTGCAATTCCTTTTTTATGATCGAACGAAGGGCAACAATATGTGTGGGCAAAAATATGTGTTACAATATTTTGTCTACGTGTCTTGGCGTTAGGACGAGTACTTATTGTAATTTTGTATTAGTCTTGTTGTCTCTTCCAAGGTAATATAAAGAACAATGCGCATTTTTTTTAACGGATTCGTCACCATAAGTTCATCTATCTGTGCGCTTTCCAATTCACCTGGTTCAGAATCCAGGTCATTTTTCCGGCTTCAAATAGGTGGTTTTCAAATTCAGGATCATTAGCTTTAAATTCTGAGCTTATTATACCAGCATCAGTCACATTTTTCATAGAGAGCAAAAAGCCGAGCTTGTTCTTTTTCCCAATCTTCTATTTTATACCCATAATATAATGTTTGGTATATCAGTATTAATTGTTAGATAAAAAGTAAAAGAGCTTTCTCTTTTCCAATAGGACCATAATCACCAATAACAAATAAATCTACAAATAGTTATTTGATAAATAAAAGACGAATGAGACTATTAATTTGTAGTTGGTGAAACTAAATTGATAGAATTTATTCTAGACATAAAGTTAACTTCGAATAGCGGTTTATTCGTTGCTGGTAAAGACGGGTATAAGTAATAATAATTTGTTTGATTTATTCATACATATTAGACTAAATGAGTTAATACAAATAAGTTAATAAATTATTCAAAAATCCAAAAAAATAGACTAACAATTCAAAAAAAAATATATTTCTTGTTTGGTCTGGAGAGGGGTCTGATATATACCAGGCGTTGCTCGACGGTTAACAACTAAAGGGCCACAATAGAATGTAAAAATAGGACACGACTGGCCCACTTCTTTTTTTTTTCGGATTTTTGTTGTAATAGTCGTTTTCTGAAATATAAATAATTATTTTGCATTCAAAAAAATGTTTAGCTCAATAGAGCGAATATTAAAAGTGCGAGGCCACGTAGGTCCCGCAAGGCCAGAAATTCTAAATTTCACATTTTTGCCCAGCGAGACCAATGTGGCACCGCATTGCGTCAGCACTTTATACAAGCGCAGACAGGTTTTATGACGTTGTCTGCGAACTGCCGAGTACCGATAGAAGTTTATTTATCTGTAGTTGCGTTTTGTTAGTCTTACGAATAACATCTACCGCGTTCTCGTTATGGATAGTTACGAAAAGGCACACAAAAGATAAGAAGAACTTTGGCAAGAAATTATGTCAGATGAAGAAGTTAATTTTTCTAGTGAATGTTCAGATAATTATATACCAGATTTATCTGATTCGAGTGATTCGAGTGATTCAGATTGTGACGTACCTGTAATTAAACAAAAGGAGAGAAACAACAGTTAATAATGCACCTTCTACTTCATCTTCAGTTAGTAATTGTTCTGTAGACAAAACAAAAGAGGAAGTAATTAAATTGTTTAGTGTAGTGGAATCAAATAAAACAGAAAGTGAACAATCAAACTTACCTACGATTACTTGGAATCCAGTAACAGGGCAAAATTTAAGAGCTATTTCGTTTACTTTGCAAGAATATGGATTTCTGCCTGAATTATACGAGAACTATTATAACAAAGGACCATATGAGTTTTACTGCTTATTCTTGAA